TTTACAAGACAGGGTTATGGCTGCACTCCTGCTGCAGATATTTAAAACAATAGGGAAGAGGGTAATTGAGCACATCAAAAGATAGCCACTCAAGAGCTGCACAGTTAAAATGTGAACATTTAACATGTCTGTTGCAACTGTGTGGCCTGTGCTGTCAGGTGTCAGGCGATGGAACCAAACCCATCAATCTGCTTTGACACACGTGCCTGTCTTCAAGGAGTGGGGAGTGTGAAGCAACCACTCGCAGCTCCAGTTCAGAGTATGTGCGTGATTCTGACATTTAGTGCAGTTGTAGTACTTGAACGGTCTACATACCACTAAAATGCACAAGGTCAACATCAAAAACACACTTAAATGGGCTGACTGGACCCTGAGTCAGACATCTGCAGCAGGTCCTAAGTGCAGGGAACTCCAGGCTTTGAGTAATGTTCACCAAAAGCCAGTGTGAGGGTCCACCTTATTTACGTTGCTGAGCTGAGTCACCGCGCTCAGGCATCGTTTTATGGTTGTTTGGAATCTACCTTGTCATTAGGCCTTTGAAGAGCAATGGAGGGATGAAAGCGTTAGCTCTGTTAAACTTGCTCTTACTGGCTTATTTCGTGTAAAGAGAGCTTTTTGTTGATGGTTGTTCATCAACATTCTTTAGCCTTGTTGTTCTGAGCTGATCATTTGAGAGGCTTTGAACTGCCCTGAGCTCATGTTGACCTTGTAGCAATGTGATCGGTAAAGGAATGGTTGCCTTCAGCGACGAGCTGGGAGTGGTGGTTGGAGTGCATTTTGTATGTACAGTATGTGCGTTACTCACCTCGTTCTTGGTGCTCTGGGCCTGCTTTTTCTCAATGTTCATGGCCAACATTTGGCTGCGGAACGAGAGGCTCTTGGTCTTCTCAATCACCTGCTGGTAAGGTGATATGGCGTTGTTCCCCATGACCACATGGCCCTAGAAATACAGAAAATGAAACATACAAAAATGAAACAGATTCTCAATACTGACAAATAAGCCAATCACATACGGTCTTGCAGACACACCATCCAACAAAGACCAACCAGTGGCTGCTTTGGTCCCATTCACATTGACTGTAGGCACATCTAGATAATTCTATGTCATTCTGGAGGACTGGGTTGTGATTTACTGATTACAGAGAACTGTTGTGATGTGTATGCCAAAACATGCAGGTTCAGAGCCTCACGAAGGGGACCGGACAAGGGTGAGATATTATGGTTACAATGTCCTTACAATGTCCCCTCCAATTACAAATCCTCTTCATCCCTCTGAAGACACACAGCAGGAGCATTTAAAATGGCTATATGACTGTCTCTACCACCCAATTTACAAAGGGCTGTTTAAAAAGCTTTGATTATTTAGTTAAGTAGTGAGCCAACTGATTGAGGAAGAAGACAGAGGGACTCACCAGTTTGGAGTCTATCTTTGCATCCAGCCTAGCGTTGCGGATAAGGTTGACGATCCATCTCTCGGCTTCCTCAGGCGACATGTTCAGTTTGTCTGCCAGCATGCTGTTGAGGAAACAGAAAGACATGGAGCTCTAATCTGGGTACAACAGAAAGGGTGGGAACGTCTATCTCAGTGCTGATAAGATCGTCCTGAAAAAGGCCATGATCAAATTCGAAATTTCAAATCAGTCTCAGTTTGGTTCATGATCAAACACCTGCGTAATTCATCAGCCTCAGCGGCACTTGCTTTTAGTGGTCATTCGTGGAATGTTAGCACGCTAACATGCTAAATTAAGATGGTGACGGACATGGTAAATATTATACGGCTAGCATTGATATTGTAAGCATGCTGAAAGTCTTGTTAAGGACAAAGATTGGACACAAAAAATAACCACAGCTTTATAATATAAACAAACTAAACCTGAAGTTACTATTGACAGTATTACTGGAGTACCACCGTCTTAACAGAAATATGTGGCTAATCTGCACAGGGCTCTTTTAAGACAATCTCTGCCTTTGGTTGGTTGGTTCCTAGGTAAGATTAGTACTCTGCAAACACCGATTTCAATTAAAGTAGGCTGCTGTCTGAACGTGCTGATGTATACTTATAACGGAGTTAACACTACACCACTGTATGATGGATGTTGCACATCAGGTGCCAGATCACTATTTTCCTTAAACAGTGTCAATAATGGCCAACATATTGTGTCCAGGCTAAAAGGTGCAGAACAAGAAACATACCCCAAAAACACTTCTAATGGCTTTCCACTAACAGGAACTTGATTTACAGACTTGTACGAACAACTCAATTAGAAGTGCTGGGACTACCCCATGTTGTGAGCCTCTGTGGTTACTTATCCCCTTATTTTCTTCATACCTCTGTCCAGGACAGATTCTCTCCCCACCTGGCTGCTAACGGCTTGTCATGACACACTGGTCCGACTCTGAACAGTGACTGTCCCTCAAAATGAAAGCCAGGTTGGAGACCGACCTGCTCTTTGATACAGCTAGACGTGAATGTGTCACAGTAGAGGGAGGGGAGGTATGAGGGTGGCTGGCATTCTTTGATCCAAAGCCTTCCCCAGTGCAGCTGGCTTCCCTTGTGGCTTTCAAAATAACTAGACCCCCCTTGATACCCCATCTAAACCCCCTCCCCCCCACATTTCCTGCCCAGTTCCTTCTGTCTGACCCCCACCACCCTCCACGCCTACCACATTTCATATAAGGGCCCCAATAAATATCCTCAACCCCTCTGTGCACTGCCCACAATTACTACAGCAACCCTAACTCTCATCTCCAAAGCAAGACACTGCCCCCTCCCACCCCAAAAAGACCTTACTCACATACATACTTAATGAAATGCTACAAATTTGTCATTGTCTGTTTGTTCAAAATAGTAGGGGTTATAAGGCCTACATAAAAACAATTTACTTTACAAATTTTCACTTCCTGGCCCATTAATCACATTTTGCAAGACTCCTTCACTGAGTAAGCTAGAATCTGCCCAGACCACACCGCTTCTCACGCCATGGCTCTGCAAACACAGATCCCACTACTACTATTGCTGATTTCAACTGTCGCTCTTAGAGTCTGACTTATTTAAGACATTCTTTTGGTATAAAGTAATCTTATTTGGGATTTGTGATAATGTCTGTCTTACCTCAAGGTTCAAAAAGAAAAAGAAAAAGACTACCACTTTCTAACCCATGAATGTTGGTCAAATGGTGGCAAAGCCACATAAAGAAGGGAAGTGGAATGATGTCAGTGTCTGGATGAGGCATAAAAGCATAAACAACAAATAAAAGCATTACCTCAGCATAATGAGCAAAATAGGGTTTGGTCTCCAAGTGACAGTGCATATCTCTCAACACTTTCACCACAGTGAAATCACTTGATGGAGGAGGTGGATAACGAGATAGAAAAGCAGCAGTTCTGAGTTGATTCATGTGCATCTCAGCAGCCCAGAGGGGGGGGAAAGGAAATACAGAGGCTGATCAACCTGTCACTCACATTAACAAACTACTAACATAGCGCTGCTCGACAGCTGATTACACTTTAGGTCATCAAAACCTGGAGAAAATGAGATGCTTGACAATGAAATTGCTCCTATGGATCATTATTGGGAACCTGACAAGTCTGGAGAAGTGTCAGCTGTCTAATGACGCAAGTTTAAGTTGTGATGGATAACACATGTCAGCCATCACAGGCCGACACTATTAACATCAAGGATTTTAGAATGAAGGCCTAAATTTTGCTAATGTAGAGCAAATGGCACACTGAAAAATAGTTGTAGATCACTAATAGGTTAATTAATACAGGATTTGGATTTGACTTCTTTGGATTACAATGCAATTAAACATTACTCAAAATTACTGTTAGGTTGAACTAGCGCCTGTCTGACACAGTCAACAAATTCTAATAGTATACGTTTGTGTTATTATGTCCACCCTTGTATCTTGCTCTACAACAGCGTAACCCTAAAAACAATACTCAAAACCTGTTAATAGCACCCCCCCATCACCTCACTGACATGTAGAAACACCCATCACATATTAACCCTACAATCAAATAATCCGAGGCAAATTTGAATGAAATTTGTTATTGGTTCCGATTTTACCCGTGTGATTAAGTGATTGCTGTGCAGGGGTGGCGGGTATTTTGTTTGGCAATTCAGTAAAGTGGGGGCACATGTCAGTCAAGTCCAGGTCAGATATGATGATCAAAACAAACATGATCTGGTTTCCTCACCGGGGAGTTAAGCTAACCCCTAACCCCTCTAAACGTGACTCTGTGCAGCATAACACAGGAACACAGAGCGCCCCAAAAGGCCCAGGGCCGCGGCCTGCACCAGCCAAAGTCCTCTAATCTA